GGGGCAGGCGGTTGCTGCACTCAGTAAGCAACTACTGCATTCTACCCATTTTCTTTTTGAACTCACTATTGTTACCCTTGTTCTCGTTACATTTAGTAAATTATTTCTTTTTATTCAACCCATCAATTCTTCTTTTGTCCCTCCCCTACCTTACCAAAGTGAGGAGGGGGAAGTGAACTGCTGGCCACATGGCATCTGGCTGCCAGCTGAGTTCAAACCTCCACAATTATCCTTTTTAAAAATGACTGCATTATTTCTTTTTCTCCAGTCTCTTGGAAGTTCACCTGACTGCAATGACCTTTTAAATATAATGAAGAGTGGCTTAGCAACTACATCTGCCAACTCTCTCAGGACCCTGGGATGCATCTCACAGGGCTCCATAGACTGGTGTATGTTTATGTTTTACAAATGGTCTCAAACGTGATCTTCTACAATAGGAAGGACTTTGTTCCCCAGTCCCTGCTTTGAGGTTCAGGATCTTGAAAGATGTGGAAAGAATGATTATCAGTGAAAATGGAGAGGGGGAAAAAAAAAAAAAGTTGAACACCTCAGCCTTTTTGCATGTCAGTTGTCACTCTTTCTCCTGTCATATCTATTGGGAAAGGTGTGTGTGCATATTTTCTTGAATCTTCCATTTTTGAAAAAAAAACAACCAACCAACAATTCTCTATTGCTCTTATGTAGCTTGCTTTTCCTGTAAAGGCAACTAAGGTTTTTGTGATAGTTGTCACATGGAATAATTAGTCAGCTTTTCTTTAACACTGAAGAAGAGGAAATATGTCTGAAACATACCCCCTTTTAATGAAAGAAGTCTCCTGCCTCAGGAGTGCACAAACTCACCAGATCTGGTCCTGACAAGAGATGCTGATCATAGCAGCATCTGACAGAAGGAGAAAAATATTTAAGGATTTAAGAACCAAGTGTCCAAAGGCAGTTGACCAGGTAATGGGCACAGAGTTCTGTTACAAAGACAGTAAATCTACACTGGAGGAAACAGAAGTAGGGAAGAAGTGTCAAAACACTGCAGTGGCAATGACAATACGCATTTTTACTAGGGCAGTTACATACAACTGAACATGAATATGCAGTGTGTAGACCCAGTGTATAGAGCCTTGGTTGACTAGTGCCAGCATATGCTAGTTGCTGAAAGAACAAGAGGAACTCCTTTTTTATGGCTAGTACAGGTCCTGACCCATGCTTTGTTTATTGTTATTGTTTTCTGTGTTTGACTATTTTTCTATATTTCTATATTTCATTTTTTTCCACAGCTACTGGCAGCCCAATCCAGAAATCATTGAAAAGCAAACCCTGCAGTCCTTGGGAGAACCAAGCACTGGGGTTTCACTGATGTCCCAGCAAGCCTACATGAGTGATAAACAAAACTCACATGGGAATGGAAGTACAAAGACATCACAAAAAACAATCTGACAAGTGAAAAGCAGAATAAAATGCAACTCCAAGTCTAGAAAAAGTTGTCCAAAATTGAGTATGGAGAGTGAATGGGGATCCCAACAGAAGTCACACTGATGACTTTGCTGTCCTTTGACAACATGTTCTGGAGAAGACGGATCACAAATCCATACAGAGAAACATGGCTGGTATCGCCCAGTGACTGAGTGTGTTGTCATCTTGGTAGTAAAAAAACACCACTTGCAGCAGAAAAACCTTTATTGTGTAATCTTTCTAAGTCAAAGGTATCTAGATGAAAAGTCATTCTGTACCTGAACTCAAGCTGGCCCAAATCTCTACTACCATGTGAGCAGCAGAGAACAGGTCTGTTGTTAATGATATTCACACTCCACTCACTTTTGAGGAGGTCACAATGGCTGTCTGCACCTTCCTGTCCATAGACTATAGCTGTTTCTCCATGCAGCAACTTCCTTTTGAACATGTGTAAACTTAGTCTTGAAATGTACATTGTGGGAATTAAGAATCGGTGGTTATCAAAATATAAACTGACCTTGGGGTTAGAAGAATGATTGCGGATAACTGAGGCAGCATTATGTATGTAATTTTTACATTACCATGTTGTGAAACAGCAGTAAAATACACTACCTGCAGAGTGTGGTGAGTATGTGTGGTGGTTTGACCTTAGCTAAATGCCAGGTACCCACCAAGTCGCTCTATCACTTTCCCCCCTTCCCCTTTTTTCTTAACAGGGCAAAGAGGGGAAAGAAAATAAGATAGGAAAAAAAAAAAATTAAGGATACCAGTTAAACCAGACACCAGAGTGAAAAGAGTAGACGTATTTTACTGGGGATAACTAAATAATGTAACAGAGTAATACAGAAAACATACAGTAAGAAAAGACAGAATAGTGCACTTAAAGTAAACAAATAGGAAAATACAGGGTAATATATCAAATCCTTACTACAAGAGAGAAAGAATAGTGTTTAAGAAAGATACATCACCACTTGCATACATTACTGTCATCCAGATCCACAAACACTGGGAAGCCCCGGTTACAGCGAGGATTTGGAGAGCCTGTCCTGGCAAGTGGGAAATCCTACGTGGTGCGT